GCGTTCGCCCTGGCTGCTCGGAGGGAAACCGACCGACCTGCCCCGCAGGCGGGGGCTTACCGTGCTCTTCGTGGTCGCTGACCGCAACGCGGGAGCCTGCTGGGTCTCGCTTTGCATGCAGCTGTGCGTAAAGTATGTGGACTTGGTGGGCTTACGTGCAGAAGTAAAAAAAAAAACAATACTTCTTTCAATCTAAAACTGATTTGGTTTTTCTTTCTTTAGACCTGAAACTTGGTAAAAAAGTTAATGAAGGTAAAACGAAAGAAGTGTACGAGCTGCCAGATATCCCAGGATGTGTTCTCATGCAGTCAAAAGACCAAATAACAGCGGGAAATGCAGCCAGGAAGGACCGAATGGAAGGAAAGGCTGCCATTTCCAATACAACAACTAGCTGTGTGTTTCAGTTGCTTCAAGAAGCTGGTAAGCATTTCAAAGGTAGAATATATGCCTGTGTATTACAGATGTTGTTCCAAAACCGGTATTGTTTCTATGTATTGGTTTATCCTGCCTTGAGGCTCTCATGGTTTTTTTGAGTGTCTTTTCTATTAGTTTTAGTAACACTTTTCCCTCTGGTGCTACAGACCTGTCTGGGCAACCTTGTTAATTTGGAACATGACACTATCTATAGTAATCTTCTAATCGCAGATAACACTGTATTGTTTCTCCTGGTTGTTTGAACATACCCCTAATCCTTCCCCCCACTTCTTGTCAGTTCTTCCCTACCCGCATGCCTGTAATACCAGACTGGATGCATCTCGCCTTTCTTGCTATCTCTGCCTGCGTAGAAGTCACTGCTAGCTAGTGGCACTACCAGGCTATGTCTAAGCTGTGTGAAATTTGTGTATGAATGTTAAAAGATAAAATTAGAGTATCCTTTCATATATATTTTTTTTTATTTTTCCCTTCTCAGTTGTATGTACTATATAAGTGTCAAGTTTTTGTATACTTAAACATGAGGACTGTGTTGCAACTGCATGTATTGATTGGTATTGAATGTATTGGGAACTTAATGTTTACTTTAAAAGACTAAAAATTTGAGTCACTCAAGTAAGTTTTGAACTACACTTCCAAAAATTGAGCTGGTATTCTTGCTTTGAAAAAGAATTTTGAAGTCTTTGACTGAGAAGCTTGCAAGTTGCAAAGAGGAATTTGAGCTAGTGGGTTCTAACCTAAGTCTGCTAACAGTACTGTAATACAGGCACCAATAAACTTGGTTGCAACTGCTTATAGCTGTATGCTCATTGCACTTTGGAGCATTCACACAAAGACTTCCTCAAGTCCCAGCTGAGTACCAGTTACTCTCCACTTTATAACAGATAATGCAATTTTTAATAATAGATCTCGGTGAAACAGTAAAGCCCTAGCATGTTTCATATGTGGGGGAGAGAAAGATGGTTTCTGTAGAGTTATATCTACCTGTATTTGTGTGCAAGTAGTTCTTGAAATATGGGCTGAGATGATAAAGGTATTTTGTAAATAGATAGTGGGAAAAGAAGAAAGTGTGTAACCAAGGCATTCAGTATAATCCTCAGTCACTGTCTTTCTTGGAAAGCCCATTTTGCATACAGTACAAAGAAGCCTCCAAGGTCTTTCTGATTATGTTTGCAGTTGATTTAAAATTACCAGTTTTCATTTAAAACTGGCAGTTTTTATTTAGGAAAAGTTAATCAGATGTTTTGCCTAATTCTTAAAAGGACAATAGTTAAGCTAACAATCACTATTTAATATCCTACAGACATGAATTTTAAATGTGAAGAAGCCATGCTGTAGACCTCAAAGATCCTTAAATGGCTTGTACTCAGTACCTTCGGGTGCTCTGGAAGAACACAGAGTAAACTGCAGCTGCATTTTAAAGCAACAAAAGAACTTTCAGGGTTCTTCTCCAGTTTGGTTAGCTGACTGGCATAAATTGCAGATAACGTGAATGCTTTATTGTAGAAGTAGTTTGTTTGCTTTGCGCAACTCTTCTTAACCTACTCTTTCAAAGGTGATCATTAACAAAGTTCTGTTAAAGTTTCTCTCCCTTTTATAATAGAGCTAATGTCAGCCCTTCAAAAGCATGCATCTACACTGATGAAAAATGTATTGAACCATTCGGGGTGGGGGTCGATCTTAATGCCTGGATTTAGAAGTGACATAATAAGCAGTCAATTATTTACATCATTCTGACTTTGAGAGCAATGCAATAAAATCTGAAGAGTCAATGTTAATACTGTATTTTTAAGGCTTTAATTCTTCCTTTATGGCTGTGGAGGTGGAATGGAATAGAGCTACTTCTTGGTTTGACTGGATGCAGTTCCTTTGGCCTTTGCTGGCAGATGCCAGCTGGGCTTGGCAGTTGTCTTGCCGTGCGGGGAGAAAGGTGGGACTCCTCAAGGGTGAAATGAAAAAAGCCATTTAGTGCATAGGGAGGCTTATCTGCATGTGTTGGCCATCCCTGTTTAATATGGGGTTGTCTTAGAATAGGCAAGAAGGTTGTTTTGTTGCAGTAGGTTTGTATGTGTGCGTGTGCTTCTGACTCTTCATGTCTCTTGCCCAACACACCACTAAGATCTAGTACCCTAAATAAATGTTAGTTTGTAATGAAAGGGAGGACTAAATTCTCTTCTCTTCCCCATCTTCCTTTATTAAACAAAGTAGTAAAGTCTACCATGTTTTTATATTTCACTGCCTTTCCCTAACTCCTTTAAAAGCCTCCAATTACTGTTCCATGCATGATGGCTCTTCCACCAGAGAGCATGTTTAGGTACTTGGTTGCTGCTAACTTCTGTTTAAAAATGAACCGTTGTGAAGAATAGTTTGTTTTTTTTTTAAAAAAAAAGGTCTGTGGATAAAATTATTTGCAAGAATAAGATTTCTGACCAGAGCATGAGGTTCTGAGCTAGAAGTGAGTGTTGTATGATAAAATTGGTGAAACTAATGACTTGTGGAAGATGACTGCACTCATCACCTTTTGCAAGGCCAGAGTGGGTTTAAAATATGCTGAAGAGATTCAGTGTGTCCCTTAAGTCCAGAGAAGAATAAGATTCAGTTGTACTTAAAAAATATATTTGTGACTTTGTTTCAACTGTGGAGTTCTGCCTAGTAATACAAATAAGCTGCCATCTTTATGTTTAGGAATCAAAACAGCTTTTGTCAGGAAACAGAGTGACACAGCATTCATAGCAGCTCACTGTGAAATGATCCCAATTGAATGGGTGTGCAGAAGAATTGCTACTGGCTCCTTCCTCAAAAGAAACCCTGGTGTCAAAGAAGGGTATAAGTTTTACCCACCCAAAATTGAGATGTTTTACAAGGTACGTTTCCTTTCCTGTGATGTTAATCAAACTTAAGCAGAGCTAGAACTCTGTATTACCTCTTAAAAATACTGACAAATAGAGCAAGTAGCACTAGTGGCTGACCAATCCTCTTGGTATTGGTAGCTTTGCCATCCTAATGTTTTCTTGCATTCCTGTCCAGCAGCTGTTTTGTCTAAAGTGCTTATAGTGTAATACTGGCTTGCAGGGAACCAAAGAATAACAAGTCAAAATGTACATAAAATAGAAAAATGTTTCATCTATAAAGTATAAGGACTTTTTAGGCATAAGCCTAACACATCAATTGAAACAGATGTGTTGATACATTTGAAGAAATTAAACATACTTGTGCACTGAGGGTAGGTAGGTAGCTAGTCACTTGGTATTCTTCACTGCAAATTGCTGCTGAAAGAAGTGTCTTTTGAAGTGTGATGTAAAGTGTTGTTTGCAGTGTACCCTGTCACTTTTGGGGCACTAAGCAAAATTGAAGTGCTTTTAAAGATACTCAGGTGTTAACAGCAAGTGTTTTCAATGGTATACTAGTATGAAACCTGTGTTTGTATTTTGGAAAACAAACAAACAAAACCAAGTATTATCTTCTAATTGTTATTTTCCTCTTATAGTATAAACTACATGACATATGTTTTGGTTTTCTTAACAGGATGATGCTAATAATGACCCACAGTGGTCTGAGGAGCAGCTAATTGAAGCAAAATTCTGTTTTGCTGGACTTAGTATTGGCCGGACTGAAGTGGATATTATGGCTCGTTCTACTCAAGCTATTTTTGAGATCCTTGAAAAATCATGGCAGCCCCAAAACTGCACTCTAGTAGACCTGAAGGTATAGGAATCTGATTTCTTATAATCCTGTTTCTGACAAGAAATATATCACTGTATAGTTACTAAAATAGGATTCTCATTGTCTCTTTAGATTGAATTTGGTGTTAATATTCTGACAAAAGAAATTGTTCTTGCTGATGTTATTGATAATGATTCATGGAGACTGTGGCCATCAGGAGACAGAAGCCAGCAGAAGGACAAGCAGGTAGTGTTTTAATATTTACCTTTTAAGTCAGTTGGGAAGCAGAATGAAAGAAGTAAACCCTACAGTTAAACACATGCTTTCAGAGTGGCCTTTTCTAGATAGTATTATCTTATTACAGGGTAGTTTATAGGGTAACTGGTGTCCAATTCTGTTCTCATTAAAGGTTGATTATCTGGTTTCTGGTAGAAAAAAATCCTCAATAGGAATGCCCAACAGCACTTATTGACCAGAGCTATTGTAATGAAGTGTGGAGCTTCCAGGGCTAACAAGAATTGCTGACTTGGTGTGCAGATAATGAAATAGTTGGACAACAAATTGGTAGGAAGAAGAGAAGCTGTCGTTTCCAGGTCTGCCTCCAAGTTTCTCTGTTTATTCAGAGTGGTATCTTCTGCCAGTAAAGATCTGGTGATACCTAAGGAGGGATCTGCAGAAAATATGCTTTCCTTCATTATTTATTTTGCCTAACCTTGAATTCAATAATCGGTTGTCTCTAGGTGTTACTAACAGACTGTGCTCACAAATGAGGGCTCCAGACATACGTTTGAAATAAAACTTGTCCTATATTTAAACTTCTAGCAATTACACTTGTCAAATATCTCTTCCCAGGTAAGTAGTTAAGAAAGAACCAGTTTGGAAATGCTGGTGCCATGGAGCTTCTGTGACAGTCATTGTGACTAGTAACAGAGACCCTGTGAGAGAAAGTGGCTGTAAGCCACAGGGGAAGACTTCAAAGTGGGTGTGTGGGAGGAGGGCTATTACTTTTAAATTGGGAAGCAGAACTGCTCTATTGTTTACTTTACATGAATTATGTGGTAGCATGCTTGAGTGAATTGCTCTGACAGTGCTTTTGCTCATCTCCCTAAAATAAGATAGATTATAACATCATGCAGAACCTAGGTTGGCTAGTGCATTGCTATGGAAGTGCTACTGCAGACAATCGTGGCATTACAAATCCAATTTTTAAGAAGTTGCCTGTCTTTCCTTAGACTTACCCTTTGGGAAGCTTCTGAAACCTTGATACCCTTGTGGCTAAAAGCCTTTCATGTTGCAAGTGGCCATAAATTGTAATGTAAAAGGCTGTTTACACCTACTGAATAGGGTTCTTCTTCAGAGAGCTGCACCCACTCTGTCCTATAGCTGTTCTGATCTCTGTTCTCCTTCCTGTGGAATTGTTGGAAACTGCATAAATATTTCAGTTGGGGTATTCTTACCAATTATAGCAGCAAAATGAGTGTTTTGTGTACCCAAAGCACGCCAACTTCCGGGTGGTTTATTTTTCTCCCCCCCCCTTCTTTTCAGTCCTACCGGGACCTGAAAGAAGTGACTCCTGAAGCACTGCAAATGGTTAAGAGAAACTTCGAATGGGTTGCAGAAAGAGTGGAGGTATCTGTTTTTATGAACAACATATGTAGTTATTGAACTCTAGATGTTTTCAACCCTGGTGACTGCTTTTCTTTCCCTTGCCCCCCTTCACTCTTTTCCCTAGTTGCTTCTGAAAACAAAGAGCCAAGGTAGAGTTGTGGTGTTGATGGGATCCCCTTCTGACCTCAGTCACTGTGAAAAAATTAAAAAGGCATGTGCAACCTTTGGAATTCCTTGTGAGTTAAGGGTGACCTCTGCTCACAAAGGGCCAGATGAAACTCTGAGGATCAAAGCAGAGTATGAAGGTAAATGCCAAAGAACTACTGAGTATCATGTTCAAGAATGACTTGGCAACTTAAGGATTTGTGTGGGTTTTTTCCTTTTTTTTTCTTCTTAAACACAACACCAAGCTGTTACAATGCTGTTCTATGCTTGCTGATTACATAATGACAAGTTGTAGACTGCACGAAGCAATTACAGTGTAATGTATTGTCCTACTGCCCAGCTACAGCTTCTGTTACTCAGTCTAACCTCTCCCCTTAGTACCAGAACTACTTTGCCCAGGCTTTGATCGTGTTAATACACTTATTGTAGCATCTTGCTGCTAATGCTAGGCCTTCTGAAACGAGGAATGATAGTTTCTTTAGCTGACTCAGAATATTCTTATGGGTTATTTACAAGGCAGATGTTGCTCCTATCATGTTTTCCTGCCTGTTTCATGACAATATTCTTGCTCATTATTCTAGATACCATGAGAAAAAGACCATGAGCAAAAGATACTTGATTTAAACTGTTATCTTTACAAAGAAAACCTGATATCTCTTCAAAAGTGTTTATAGCCTAGCAGAAGAGAGATAAGAATTATTTTTTTTTGTGGGAGTATACTTCCTACTGGTGAAAAGCTGGCAGATAGGGTATGTTAAAGACTCGGTGAAACAACAGATGTGGTAAACATAGTTAAGAAACACTTGAGGTGAACAGTGTAAGATTTAAGGAGAGGAACACTTAAAGATGCCAGAGGTTTAAGGGCTATGTTCTCTACAAAGCTAAGCAGCATTTATTCCTCTGATACTGCAGCTTCCCTTTGGAGGCAGAATATGATATGCTAACTTCGGTTGTGTTAAATGTTAGCTGGGATTTAAGGCTGCAAGATTTCGAAGTTATTTCTGTAAAGGGGGAAATCAGCACTAGAATTTTGTGTCTGTGCAATGGAATTGACAAAATAGCTGCAAACAGAATTGTGGACTTGGAGAAAGTTCCCCCAAAAGCAAGTGGTAGAGCACAAGCTGGATTGATTATTTCTGAATGTCTTTCTCCCCCCCAGGAGATGGAATCCCAACAGTGTTTGTTGCTGTAGCTGGCAGAAGCAATGGTTTGGGGCCAGTAATGTCTGGTAACACTGCTTACCCAGTTGTCAACTGTCCTCCACTCTCAGCTGACTGGGGTACTCAGGATGTATGGTCGTCTCTCAGACTACCCAGTGGTAAGATGGTTTTCAAATTACGCTCTTATACTGACCTAGCTCTATTTTTGTTGCTGTTCTAGTGGAATTAGTATTAATGGAGATTTAAATAACTGAATTTTGTTCACAGTTATAGAGCTGCATTTTACTTATGATCAAAGATCAAAAAATATCTTCTTCCACAATCAGTGTAGGTAAGATGCTTGGCAACTAGGAGGCCCAGAATTCTGTTACCTCTGTGTAAGGACAGTCATTTGGTATGCTGGCTTTTGGTTTAAAATGCTGTGAAGCAGTCATGTTAGAAGTAGTGGAGCACATTTTAAAACCACATCATGTGGTTCCTGAAGGCTGAAACAAACAGTCTTAAATTGTTCTTCAGAGGCAGTGTTTTGTTTGACTATAAAATATGCTTTGGTAAGTGGCACACTCTCTCTGCAGGTCTTGGCTGTCCCACTACTCTGTCACCTGAAGGAGCTGCCCAGTTTGCTGCCCAGATATTTGGGTTAAACAACCATTTGGTGTGGGCCAAACTGCGATCAAACATGTTAAACACCTGGATCTCCTTGAAGCAGGCTGACAAAAAACTTCGAGAGTGCACCTTGTAAGTCATAACTGACAAGTAACTATTATGAGTTACCTGAAGATAATGGTGTGCATATTCATTTATTTGTACTAGAATTTACATCTGGATGAGCTCAAAAGTCCTGCCATTGTTAGAGCAGCAGGTGAAGTCTGTTGTGTCCTCATCCTTCCCTTGTGTGTTTTTTACTATAACAACATAGTAAAAGATGGGGAAGTAGTATTTTAGGTGTCTGTCGCTCCAAAATGGTGCTGTTGCTTTTTAGTGTATACTGTTAACTACAGACTATGTCAAGAGAATGATGTGGTACGATCTAAATAGAATTCAACTAGTCTTCTGTATTTCTGCAACAGTAATATTCTTCCATAGTAATAATTTATGTCTTGAACCTTATTAACTCAACTGGACTGGTAATTAAAGCCAGTGCTGATGCTGTTCTGCTTGCAATGATGGTATGCTTTCCTTAGCAATAAAATGGCAACATATGCTATATTAATAGGAAAAGGGGCTGGAAAAATGTTTTAAGAGGCTGAAATAAATACCTGCCTTATTTAAAAAATGTATATACATACATATTGGTTTTGTTTTTTTTTTAAATGTGTGTGTATGCATACCCCATTGATATCTTCTGGAATGATGTGATAAAGTTGACACAAATTCTCTTGTTCATAATAAACTGTAAATACAAACGGTTTGAGTGAACTGTAACTAGGCTTGTTGCCTGTGTGCTGTAACTCTTGCCTAGTCCAGTCTTTGCCCTTTTACGTACCAGGCAGATCTCTACCTTCAGGAGGTCTAAAGGACCTATGGGATGATGCTGAACAGTCTTCATACACCTCAATAAGTCTAGCTATTATGTATCTGTATTGCCTCACTCTGTTACTATGGAATTTTACTGAACTGAAGGGGAGGATGAATAGTAAAGCAACAAACTGCTGGGGGGAAATCTAAGAATGACTGTCTTGGCTTTACCCACACCCGTCTTCTGAGTAGGTATGATACTAACAAATATGCAATTATTCAATCTATGTAACACTTATGCTTTTACAATTATAAATAAACTATTGACTTCAAAGCTTCTTCATGGTGGTTTATTGAATAAGTACACTCAAAAACTAGCCATCAGCTGTGGTACATAACTTCACAACCTTAAGTTAGGGAATACTCTTGTAAAAAGCTTATGCATTAAAATCTGCATAGAATGGTATCCAGTGTTGTGGAAGATAATCAAGTAGTAAGTGTCTCACTGTTAGAGGAAGCTGTGTTGCTTTATTCCTAAGGTAGTGCTTTATGATTACCCCTTAGTGGGAGTTAGCTGGATTAAATGCTGCTGCTGGCCTTGTAATTCACAGGAAGGGGCCACATTTTATGTGTAGCTGTATCAAAGACCTCTCACCAGTACTCTCAGCAGTGCTCTCTTCTGGAGTTATGTGCAGGGATATTTAAATTGGTCAAAGCTTACACTCAAGCAAAATAACTAGAACTCTTTTCCTCATCTTGAGGGCAGTTGCTTTTCTAATGAATTTCTGAAGGAAATATCAATAATAGGGCTAATGATGACAAAGAAATTGAAATTCCTTGGTGGCATACCATTGCTGTGGCAGCACTGACTTAAAAGTGATCATTAAGACAGGGGTTTTTTTAGCAAGCAAGCACTTTACCAAGGTTTTACTCACCTACATATGTATGTTAGCACATCTGAAAGTGTTCTGTCAGCTAGCTCTCCTAACAGGATAGTGGTACTAACTTCAACTAGGAGAAAAATTAATGGGCAAAAAAGAGATGAGTGCATCCTCTTTGCTTAGGTGAGTGAAGTGGATCATCTTGTAATCAGACAAAAACCAGCACTAACAGCTGTAATGGAGAGTGCAGCACTGCTTTCTCCTGGAGGCAGCAGGCTGCTAGCTCAGCTGTATAAGGATACATAACCTGAGGGTAAAGTTATGCAAGAGGTGAAGGTGTCATTTCCTATTTCCTATTCTTCCCCACCCAGCCTGGGTGGTGGCTCTAATGGGTTATCAACCTGACAAGCATATTAGTCACCTGACTACCCTAGCACCACATGAGAGCAACAACTGCAGCCAGCCATTTGTGCCTCTTTCCCCCTGCCTTGCTGTGTTGTTTTGCTGTCTCTGTACAGTCTTTCCCCACACAATAAAAATCAGTAAGACAGTGACTTGAGTGTTCTACCTGGAACATTCTGTACTGGCTTGAGTTATTTTTCTCAAATTTCTTGCACCCTGATTATACTAACTTCATTTGTAAAATGTTGGGCATGAGCATGCCAAGTTCTTTAGTTGCCATAGAGATGGTAATTCTTCAGCTTTTGGAGGGGGTGGGTTGTTTGGGGTTTTTTTGTGCAGCCTGTACTGAACTCTCAGAAGCAAACCCTTGCTTGAGCAGTTGCCTTGCAAGGAAATACTAAGACACAGCAGCTAGCATTAACAGGGTGGTGCTTTGATCAGCAGATGAAACCTGTGAAGTCCTATTGTATCTGCAAGAACTTTACAGAGTTGTCTTAAAGGCAACAGTGCTGCATATCAGCTTTTTCACAAAGCTTTTGCTATGAAAATACTTCCCCTTGATTCAGCATTCCAACTACTACCTTGATGCAATAACCTGAGCACTTCTTCCAACAGAAATTGCTCTTGTAGCACTTGCTTTTTTTGTCTAATTTTAAAAACTATCCACATTCTTAAGTAAAAAGTGCTTTTATCTTCAAAAAACCTATTACATAAAGGGGTTGCTGAAATTTATTTGCATTTGGTTTACAATTCCAGAAGCAGAATTTATATATGGCACAGGAAAGTGCAAGCCAACTGACACCTTATCTCAATTTTAATTTTATTAAAAACTCATGGGAACATGTAAAAACATCTAAAAGCCACATCTTCCAGCAGACCAGGGAATCCTCAATTTCAAAATTAAAACTCTTGTCAAGAAAAAAAAAAAAATTACCACTACATTATTTGGGTATTTCAAGCCTGACTACAGGGACTTTTTGCTGTCAAGAAAAAAAAAAGATCCTGTCACCTGTGTTTTTAAAAAGATCACGGCAGTACAAAAGATTAAGTTTCTAAGGTTATAACATACTGGAATGGAGATATAGAGGATCTCCTTTCTTCTTTTATTACGCAAATAAAGTTTTTCAAATGTTAACCCAGGACTTTATTCATACAATAAAAGGGGAAATTTACCTTAGAACGAAGTCCACATTAAAAGTGATCAAGCAAATTTTAGGTCACCTGTAACATCTTAAACTGCAGAAGAGAACAAGGCCACAGCATCAGATTAGCAAGCCTGTATTTAAGTGTTCCAGAAGAACGGTTTCCCACAACTTCTGTGAAATGATGATTTGATACCTGAAACCACCTCAATTTAAACAAAGTAGATACAAAAGCAGGACACCAGCAAAACCTTGTCAGACCAATAATCAGTGTGAGACAGGTACTGCATCAGAAACAGATTATGTACATACCAATTACATCATGAAGTGCCCACAACCTCAATGTAGGTTAAATAGCTGCTTCTGGCTTTACTTAAAATCCCAGAATAGAAGCATATGGAAAATGAAAGCGATTTTTAGTTTCTGATAAAAATATTACAAACTTTTAGCTTTTATTGAAAATTAAATATATTAGCAAAAGCAAGATTTAAGAAATATTTTACAAAATGATTTACATACAAGAAAGCCAGTATCAGACATATTCACAAATATGCAAACCTTCTTTAATTACAAAAAGTACCTATTGGCAGCATGATGCTAACCTTGCCACTGCAGTGTGCTCTACTATTGATATGAATAAGGCATAGAACTCACATTTGCACCAACTTAAAAAGTTCAAACGAAACTTTAAGCTTTTAAATCCCGGATGCACAATCCCCAATACATACACACACTCTAAGATTTCTTCTTCTAAGCTCTATAAACTAAGTGTGTGCTCTGGAAGAACAGCCAGCCTGAAAAGCCCAGTAGAAATGTAACTGGTACTAACATTTAGTTTTCAGTTTCCTCTTTAACATGTACAGGCCTAGGTATGTAAACCATATTCACAGTTTAAGTATTTTTATACAGAACTACCTTTTTTTTTTTGCATTGGCTCTCAGTTCAGCATACAGTTCATAATGTCACCTGTCTTGTAGTGAACACATTTACAAGATAACTTAAGAATCTGTACCATGGTCAAGAGTAGTAATATCCAACAGTGACATTCAATACTAGATTTCAAATATTTGTGCAAACAGCAAAAGAACAGTTGTATGAGGCAAACTTATTTGCAAAACTTTTAATACCTCCTCAATATTGTAAACTTGGACTGTCAGCCTTAAGTCCTGCACTTCCCACAGTTTTAAAAAGTCAGTGGCTAAAATTATCAAGTCTCAAAAATGTTCTCTTCTACATAGTGCAAATTGTAACGTAGGTAACATGAAAAACATATCTAGCTGGATTGACTTTGTGCAATCATCAGTGGTCTTCTCTCATAGTTGAAGAAAGTGTGCATTCAAAGAACCACATGGTTCAGGAAGTTGGGAGGGTGGGGAGGAGAGAGAAAAAGCAGTTCCATTACACTTCTCAAACCAGTGCTAGATGTGCAAAGGCAGCAAAAATTCCAGCTGCTACTACAACCAGAACAGAGCAACTTTTCAGGAAGACCCAGGCGGTTAGTCACTTGGACTGGTCTCTAGAAAAATATGTCAGTATATGTTGGATTTTTATCAGACGGTCTTTTAAAGACATCATGGAGAGAACTGACAGCTGATATCTGGGGTCTACTGGGAGAACAGCTAGAAGCCACCAACACCAAGCAGGACCATTGGGCATTGCCTAAAAATAAAAGATAAACTGGTTACTCATAACCAATGTAGTACAGTTGACTAACACAAAGATATCAAAAGTCAAAGTTGTCAATAACAAAGACTAGTTTAAAGTTTGATACTAACTAAAGAATTCCAGATCCATAAGATCAGAAGGGTTCTGAAGGGATCTCTTACAATCTGTCTCCAACCAAGAAGTAAAATAAAGTACACTTAAACTATACTTGATAAAGCAATTATTTTTAAGACAACAAAGGAAGCTCCTTTTCCTTGGGAAAACATGGCTAAGCATAGGACAGTCACGTAATAACAAACCTCCCCGATAAAAAGTAAATCCATTACCTGTCATGCTGTTCCTAATGCTT